AAAAAAAAAAAAAAAAAAAAAAAAAAAAAAAAAAAGAAAAAAAGAAAATATCACTTAATACAATGTTTATATTTGAATTTCTCCGTCCCATCGAAATTTAAGCTCCACAAGGACAGAGATTTTTGTTTGTCTTGTTCACTGCTAAATACTGAAGTCCCTGAAACAATGTCGGCACAAAAAATTTGTGATTTAGGGCCGGCCCGGTGGCGCACTGTAGCAGTGCGCCGCTTGGGAGCGCGGCAGCACTCCCGCCAAGGGTTCGGATCCCACATACAGACCGGTTCCCGCTCACTGGCTGAGCGATGTGTGGGCGCAACACCGAGGGTTGCGGTCCCGTTGCCGGTCCCAGTCCGGTCCGGGCGCGACACTGAGGGTTGCAATCCGTTGCCGGACACGAAAAAAAGACAAAAAGGAAAAAAAAAATTTGTGATTTAGATTTTAACTAGAACATGTCCCACCCCCAACCCAGGCATTCTCCCAGTGAGCCGTTCCTTACGTTATTTTCCTTCATAGCACTTACCTGGCATACTATAAATTTATATTTCTTTTTAAAAAAAAATTTTTTTTTTGTCCTTTTTGAGATCGGCTGCACCGCACTCAGCCAGTGAGCGCGGTGAGTGCACCGGTCATCCCTATATAGGATCCGAACCCGCGGCAGGAGCACTGCTGTGCTCCCAGCGCCGCACTCTCCCGAGTGCGCCACGGGCTCGGCCCTATAAATTTATATTTCATGTGTGCAATAGAAAATAAGCTCATTCACTACTCTATCTGCAGCACCAAAGCTAGGACTCAGTAAATATTTTATCAGTCACTGAAGGTTTGTCTGTCATCCCTTTACTCCCCACTAGAATATAAATATTGGAGGGCAAGGACTTTATATCTTCATAGCTATGTTCTCAGAGCCTAAAAGAGGTACATAATAAATAAATATTTTACCTTTTTGTTACTGGTTCTCACTCCAAATATTCTAAGTAAACCACACTGACACGACGAAATAAAAGTGACAGAAAGAGATAATCTACAGCACAGGGAGGCTAAATAGAATCCTTTCCTAAACTGAGCTGTCAATATTCTTTACTATGTAGCAAAAAAATATTTAAGGGCTTTCCTATAGCTACATGTGACCTTAGTCGCCCCACTCAATTTGTCCCTATGTCTTAAATATATACTTGCAAGAACACAGAAGTCCTAATACCTGGCCAAATTATTCCTCTTACAGAGAAAGCTTGCTCCTGGGGCTGGCCCATGGCTCACTCGGGAGAGTGTGGTGCTGATAACACCAAGGCCATGGGTTCGGATCCCTATATAGGGATGGCTGGTTGGCTCTATGGGTGAGTGTGGTGCTGACAACACCAAGTCAAGGGTTAAGATCCCCTTATCAGTCATCTTTAAAAAAAAAAAAAAAAGAAAGAAAAGCTTGCTCCTGACTCTTTGAAAATTTTACCCATCTCCAATATCATCTTACAAGTGAAGCCGTCTCTCATTCAACAAGTAATTAAATGCCAGGCACAGGCAACTGTAGTGTCATCCCTTTTTAAGAAAAAGGGGATAAAATATGCTAAGGAAAAAATGGAGGAATAAGCACCAAAGAATGTGTGCTTATAATGTCTTAATCATGTATACAGAGTACACATTTAAAAGGTTTTAAAAAATACATTTAACATTCTCTACTTGATAAAGCTAAGAAAGTGGGCTTTTTAAAAAGGAAAAGCCTTTCAAACAATGGCCAAAATCTGGCTAACTGAAACACATGGAATGTTAGTTGAGGTTTCACAGTACCTTAATTTCCATCACCTAATAAAGAAAAATATACATGTAATAAACTTCTTAGAATAGATAAATTTATCCCTTAAAAACCAGGGACATTCCGAGCAGTGGAAACAAAGTCTCTAACTGAAGACAGTGTAATGCTGGCTATCTCAAAATTATATATTTTATAAGGAGGCTACAAGGCTAAACTGGGCTTGGAAACGAGATGAAAATATTCCAATATTTGTGCCAGAAAGAACAGTAATTAGCTGGCAGTCATTTGGAACAAACTATGAAGGTACAGAATACCAGTCAGTTGTAAAATAAATGTTTTACTTAAATTTAAGAGGTTCTTACAATTTGTGAAAACACAGTAGATCCTTGGCATATAACACACAGGAAATACTATACAATATAAGATTAAACAAAAACAGTAAAGAATAAATGAATAACTGACCTCAAGCCCTCCCTCCATCACTTGAACACTCAAACGTACAGATTGTGCACAAAAACCAAAACTGCACTTACCTTAAGAGGCTGGGGGCCTCTCAATCCTGTTTGTCCTCCCATCTGAGGAGAGCCCTGCTGCAGTGGTTCAGTCAATAAGTTGCCTGCGGTTCCCATGCCTGGGTTTGGATACTGCATATTTGGTCGCCCCCGGCCTGCTCCAATTGAACCGTTCATGACTTGATTAGGCATTATCCCCTGTCCATTTCCTGCAGCCAACATTCCAGGATTCATGCCAGCATTCATCCCTGTGTTCATTCCCATGGCAGGCTGATTTACTGGACTGTTCATCATGCCTGTTGTGGACTGTGTGGGACCTTGATTTGGCCCACTAGTGCCCATCCCCATGTTGGGAGAAGTCAAGCCTGCTTGTGCCATTGGGCTTTTGACCATGCTATTTATCAAACCTAATCCAGGACTGTTCTGTTGGGCCTGGCTGGCCATGACTTGGCCTGGGCCACCAACTCCCATATTGAGGTTAGGGGAACTACCAGACCGTAGCAACTCTGACAGCTGTTTATGTTTAGAAGCTGCATCTTGTACTATGCCAAGACTTGTCTGAAGCTGACTAATATCACCACCATTGGTTAGTCCTAATTCTGTAGAGTTGATTAATTCATCTGGTAAGTCGTGCTCCAAGTCAAATAGAGAGCCAAAATCTAAAAGCAAAGAGGAAAAATAAAGGTTAAAGTCTGACAGAACCAAAATCAGAAACTGTTCTATATTTTGTTCTTGATAAGCATTAAATATCACTTCCAAAGCCCACTCCATGGAATACTACCTATTTATTATTTGTATTGCAGTTTTTCATGTTACACTAAAAAAAATATATATGTATGTTATACGTAAAAAAAATTGGGGGGATATTTGGTTATACCAACAGGTTTAAACACTTAAGAACTGGACCTAAAATAAGACCAAGGAAAAAAGGGTTAAGTGTTAATACAACACACATTATGTGAGTTGCTTAAAGTTATATTGACAGTCATGAAAAAAAGATATGCAATGAAGTTGTACTGATATTCCAGAATTTCTTAGAAGTTAAAATAACTTATCTATATACCAAATGAATTCAGGATGAAAACAAAAGATTTAAAATATTATAATACATAAAGAAAGACAACTATTAAAAAAGATCTGCCGGGCCGGCCCGGTGGCGCACTGGATAGTGCGCCGCTTGGGAAGCGTGGCGGCGCTCCCGCCCGAGGGTTCGGATCCCACATGCAGACCGGTTCCCGCTCACTGGCTGAGCGAGGTGTGGGAGCAACACCGAGGGTTGCAAT